CAAATTTGAATGAGACCATTTGTAGTTCTCTCTCCTCTCCCCATTGTTAGAATGACTGAGGAAGAAAAGACAATGATAACAAATGTGAGCAGGGGCATGAGGAGGAAAGCCAGGCACATTCAGGTGGGGTGTGCTTGTGCTTCAGTGCAGCCACTGCAGAAAATAATATGTGGGCTCCTGCATAAACTCTCTGCGCAAAATACTGTTGGAAGAATTGGGTTTGTTCAGGTCACCTACTTTTGAGAATATTCTTAAAAGTTAGAAATGAATGAAACATTTCTCTGGCTTCCCTTGTTGACATCCTCTCAGAATTGTAATCCCTGGATGATCCAGTTGCAGAGATGCCCACCTCAAGCCATTCCTCGCCAGATATGCTTGAGTGATGGTGAGAAACTATGACCTTCATCCTCAAGCCCACAGTAGGCCTGACACTGCCATGTCACACCCAGGCCCATCCCTCATGTAAGCCTACCTGTCCCAGCTTCCTCTCCCTCAACCTCACCCTCTACACTCCTTGCTCTCAACTCCAGCCTGGTCCTCTGTACCTCTGCTTCTCCCCCTGGCTCCCACCTGACCTGTGGAGGATGCCTGCAATGTGACCCCTGCACCAGCCTGGGCTCCTCTGTGAATCCTCCCATGGCCTCAGCATCTCTATCTCTGTGTGTTACTCTGAATTATTACTCCACTGAAGTCATCTCTTCCCTGCCTTTCTGCTGAAAGCACTTTGGGAGTTTGATTGAGCTTTGGTTTCCTGCCTTCCCAGCACCAAGGTTTGGCCTGCAGCAGCTACTTAATAATTATGCAAATTAATGTCTAGAATCACGGGTGACATTTTTCCACTGGTCTCACAAACCTATTCTATTTCTCTTCTCCAATTTGACCTTACCCTCTAAACTTGGGTAAACATTTTACTTCTCTAGCAATTTTTCTCTACCATTAATTAAGACACTGGTGATCATTTTATATTTCTGTTTTGTTGTATTTTGTCTAGCTTCAATTGAAATGTTTCACACACGCTCAGCCTCAGTGTGTGCTGGGATGGTTATATTATTTATGTGATGACCTGACTGGGGTAGATGAGGTCAGAGAAGACCATCTCCCTAATGATATCATGTGGTTCACATAACTAACTCAGATGACCAGTAGTAGCCACCCTCACTAGGTAAATGAGAGGGTCTCCCAAATGCAACTCACTGGAAGACAACAGAGTTCACAACATTTCCAACACCCTGGGCTGATCTTTAGGTGAAGAAGGAGGAGACACCCTAGTGAGAAGCCAGCAGGGGCAGTTGTAGTGATGCACGTTCTCTTCAGAATCTGGTTTCATGGAGAGCAAGATGGGAGTGAACAGAATCCAGGCAGGAGAGAGTGATGAGGAAGGGGCTCCTGAGGGCACCTGGCTTGGGTCCTCTGAGGCCTGAGGTCATGCAGGAAGATCATTAACTCAGGGGTCTCCTGTGTATAGACCAACCCTGTACAGGAAATTTCCTTCCTGATTTACTTGAGTTTAGAATAATCTTTGCTCCAAGAAGTAGGCCTGAGTTAAATTCAGAAAAGATCCTGAAACAATAAAATAATGACACAAAAGAATTGAAATAGGGCCTATGGAATACGTAAGGATCCTAAAATTTCAACAGAGAAATATAAATCACATTTTAAAAATGAAATTTCTAGCCTAAATTGGGGAAATGTTGCCAATAGGCATTTCTCAAAATAAAATATATAAATGGCCAATATAGATAGTAAAAAAATGCTCAATACACTTTTTATTTCCAAGTTCCCCATCTTCTTAGAAGTATAATTGATTGAAAAGTCTTGTACATATTTAAATTAAACAATGAGAAGTTTGACATACCTACTCATTGTGATATGATTACTATCACAAAGAATATTAAGACATTTTTCTTCTCTCATAGTTACCTTTTTGTAGTGAAATCACACACATGTTCTTGCAAGGCAAATTTTAAGTATATAGCTGAGCATACTAAGTACAGTTACCATACTGTCCATTGGGCATCCAGAAGCTATGCATATTGTATCATTAAAACTCTGTACCTTTGATCACCCTCTCTGCATCCCCCACCCCTGTCTATGGCAATTACCTTTCCACTCTGTTTCCATAAGCTGAATTTTTTGCACTACAAATAATAAGATTATGCATTTTTTAATCTTTTTGATCTGTCTTAGCATAAAGTCTCTAGATTCACACATGTAGCCATAAGACATAATTTTCTTCATTTTAATCCCCAGTAATTTCTCATTATTTGTATCTTCCATAATATTTACTACAATCATGCATACATCTATAGATGCTTAATTGCTTCCATATTTTGATTATAATTTTTATTATGAGACATGGACTTGCTATGTTCCTTAGTTGCTCAGGAAGTTCTTGAATTTACAATCCCTCTGCATCAGCCTGCCAGAGTGCTGAGATTACAGGAGTGTGCCACCAGTCCTGGCCTGATAAGAAATCCTGGTGAGAGTCCAGAAAAACAGAATGCTCAAAGAAATGTGGAGAGTAATGCCAGGCTCAGGAATTTTCAGATGGGAATGAAGACTCTTGGACTAGAGGCCACATGTGTTAAACTCTGGCAAAATATTTGCCCAAATGTTGTGCAAGACTTGTGTGAAAGCTGAGATTATATTTGCTGGCCTAACTGATTTGGCAGGACAAATTTGAAACCCACTCAACATTTATGCTGTGGGATGCTTACTAGTGGCTGCTTTCCTCAGAGAGCCAGAAGCAAAATAAGAAAGAATTTTAAAAATTAAATTTTCCCTTCCCCCCAAAAAAACACCTATAAAAGTGATGGAGAAAAAGAGGTGTATTGATGAAGACATTTGCACCTAAAATGAAGCCAAGTATTCTGAGACAAGTAAAGAAGAAACACACATTGAGGGCATTGCTGGAATCAGAAAGTTCCCAATCATCCCAGACTACAAGGTTCAAAAGGTTAACATTTTACACAGGACCTGGTCCCTGGGATTCACTTCGCTGTGCTTAGGCCTTACCAACAGAAGCCACAGCACATGGTCTATGGGTTCTGGCTACTGCTAAACAGATCTTTGTACTGTACACATAATGCTAGTTGTTACGTCAAGCAAAATCCATGACTGTGGGTTTATGGAGGCTTCCAGAAAGATTTCAGAGCAGGGTGTGAGATGCCAAAGTGTGTATCCTTGAAAGTGCAGTGTGTGAAGCTGTGGGAAAGAATCTGTAGGTGCAGCAGAGACCTAGGTAAGGCAGAAGTACAGAAACATGGAATATTTGCCAAGAAAGCCACATGTAGTAAATGGAAGCCCATAAGAAACAACATATGTACTGAAACCAGAAAGCTTTTGAGGTGGAACCACACCAGCTCTCTAGAATTCAACTCACCATGGTGTCCCTTGTATCCCAGGCATGGTGTTATGGGATTTCATGATTATCTTACTTTGTTCTGGAGTGTCTATAGTCATATTTTATATAATTTCCCAATTTCTCTTTTTTGAAATGGGAATACATTCCATGTACCATTACATCTTGGGATTCTGTACTTTGTTTTATAAATTTCATAGTGGCTTTTCAATGAATATTTGCCTAGAGCTTTGGAGGAGACTTTGGACTTGGGTATCTCTGAAGCCAATCCACTTAACAGTAAGATTAGCCGTAATCTTCAGCTTTCACCTGTAGTCTTTTTATAGTGCATTTGCCTCAGGGTCCATGGACCAAATTCCAGTCAGCTCCCCTTTCACTCCCTTTTCCCAGCCCTTCTGCTCCTCCACAATAAACAAGTACTTTCACATCAGGAATATTAGTAAAAAACATTCTGTGCTGTAAAACGTGTTCACCAGAGTAAAGGAAACTATGAAACAGGGCTTGTGTATGGCAGAGAGCACTCCAAGAGAAAAGAGAGGTGATGGCAGCATGGCCACTTTCCCTCAAGAGATTAAATCTGTGGCTCAGGATACCTCCCTGTCACCCCACCTTTCACCAATTGTTAGCCATTACCTATCCTTTATTTCTCATCTTTTTGTTAATACCATTTATATGATTATCACACACATGTGAGAAAGATGCATTTTTAACACACATTTGATTAAAAATACAGCACCATTTTCTGATGAAAAGTATGTTCATTTAGCCTGGTTCCTTTGAAGATGAGGCCTGGAGTTGCTCATGTAGTTAGATAGGAGAATTTTTCCAAAGTTGAATTTACCTAACCTTCAGATACAGAATTTGATAAAAATATATTAAAGCAAACAAATGATATATTATGGAATTTATTTTTAAATGATTTTCCCTTCATTGGCTCAAATAACAAGCTCTGGTGATAATTCTTGATGGAAAGTGTTATTTGCTTTCCATGTATGAGAGAACAATGTAGTATTTGTCTTCTGTGCTTATCTTATTTCACTTACTGTAATTTTGCACGTTTCCATTCATGTTTTCATAAATGGAAGATTTTGATTTTGTATTCTCTGATTAATATCCTTTCTGTACACATGCTATGCTGTATATACTCATTTGACTGTTGTAAATAATGGAGCAATGAATGCTGATGTAGAGTTCTCTCTTCCTATAATGATAAGGACCAGGCTGCACATTGTCTCTTGGAAAACAAGACATTTGGAAAAGATGAAGCAAAATTATAGTGTTTCTATTTGAAATTTCAGGATCAGAGCTTTCTAGCCAAAAAAGTTACTGTAGGTTTCAGATTTATTATCATGTAGAAAAGGAAACTAATTTCTTTCAAATCATAGGCATTCATTTGGAAAAGTGACCATGCCAGTATTCACTGATGTGTGTCCCTTTGGTTGCTCCAGGAGACAGGCAGAGATCATCTGGCATCTAAGTGCTTCACCCCATGCTGGGATTCCAGGATCCTCTTCCATCCTCTCTTCACATCCTTGTTTCTCAGGGTGAAGATGAGTGGCTTGAGCACAGGAGTGATAAGGCAGTAGAAGAAGCACATGAACTTTGCCTGAGTGTGATTTGCTGGAGCCTGGAGGTACATTTAGATGGCAGGACCAAAGTACAGGGTGACAACCACCAAGTTGTAACTGCAGGTGCTAAGTGCCTTGTGTCTTCCTTCAGCTGAAGGTAGCTTCAGTGCAGCCCTGACAATGAAGGTGGAAAAATGACCACCAGTAAAAGAACCACCCCTCTTCAGCTCATTAGCAGAGGTATCCCTACAGACCAGCTTGTTGACCACAGGCACCTTATAGATGTTGTCCAGGATGTGCTGCCCACAGAGGAGGAGCTGGAGGGTGAGTGTTGTTGGGAGCACAGAATTGGCCAGGCCACTTGACCAGGAGGCAGCTGCCATCTGCACACACACCCAGGGATGCATGATGAGAGTGTACTGGAGTGGCTGGCAGATGGCCAAATAGCGATCAATGGCCATCATGGCCAGTAGGATGCATTCAGTGCAGGCTGCCAAGCTGAAAATATAGACTTGTAGGATGCATCCCCAGGCTTCAGTGGTCTTGTCTGGGCCCCACAGGTTGGCCAGCAGGTGGGGCATAATGGCACAGGTTACACTGAGGTCCAGCAGAGCAAGGTTGTCCAGGAAGAAGTACATGGGTGTCTGGAGTCTGGAGTGTACCAGGGAGAAGAGGATGATGGAGATGTTCCCCACCAGAGTGAGTAGGTAGGAGAGCAGAGCCATTCCAAAGAGGGGCCTTTCCAGCCACTGAAACTCCAAGAAGCCCAACAACACAAAACCACTGGGAAAACATGTTTGCTCTTTCCATGGCATCTGCTTTATAGGTAATTAGAAGGAATGGGACAGATTTTGTTGAAATATCCCTCATAACTGTTAGGAAAAATTTTGTATATCTCTATAATAGTTTCCTACCCCTTCACTTTCTAGTCAGTAAAGAAGTACATAAAGACATGTCAAAAGTTTTTATATAGGGCCAGAATGCATACATGTGTGCCAGGGCACAGCAACTGCCTTGGAAGCATGAGGCCCTGAGTTCAATTCCTGGTACTCTCCCATCCCCCAAGTTTTTTTCAAATAGAGATGAATCCAGTAGACTGGTAATCTCTTTATTTGAAAATATCAATCAGTCATGTTTTTATCATTCTTCTCAATTCTCCCATTTTTCATCTTCCCCTTTTATCCTTTGTGGATTTCCATAACTCACTGAATGTTATGTTCTCTAGTGGTGTGAAATGGGCTGTGTGGCCCATTCCATTTAGGACACTGCCTCCTGTTCCTTGTGAGTCCACATAGGTGAGGGATTTGGGGCTCAGTTGGACAGAGTAGAGCTTGATATAGCTCAAGTGGCTACATACTGCTTTGGAATTCTCAGATGTGAAGAGGCTATTAAGTAGAGTTATTCTGGATGCTCATCTATGCCCCTATTATTTTTTTTTGGTACCAGGGATTGAACTTGGGACCTTGTGCTTGCAAGGCAGGCGGTGGAACCACTGAGCTAAATCCCCAGCCCTATGCCCCTATTTTTGTAACAGTAAAATGCACATGGTTTTCTCTTCTATGTTAAACACTTTCAAGCTCACGGTGGAGTGGTGTTGTGTGCATTCATATTTTTCTCCTCCCACTGTCACCTTCCTTCTGCGAAGACTCAGATCAGACCTGGGAATCAAACCTCTGTTTCCGCCCTGACTCTGGGAGTCACCACTCTACTACCTCTCTCTGGAGTTTTGGGTTCTTTGAATGTCTCAAAGAAATAAAATCTTATTTTGTTTGCAATACTGTGGTTGGTTTAGTTCACTTATTTCAGGGGTTTCCAACCATTTTCAGTTCAAGGACCAGTTTCATGAAAGATGATTTTTCCAAAGAAAGTGGGTGGGGATAGTTTTAGGATGATTCAAGCACATGTATTTATTGTGCCCTTTATATTTATGATTATTTCCTTGTACTATATAATGAACTACTTATGCAGCTCACCATAATGCAGGATCGGGGGGCTCTGACCTTGTTTTCCTGGCAATAGATTGTCCTGTGGGAGTGATGGGAGGGAGAGATATCTGAAGAGTTTTGCTGATGTCCAGTCTCCTCCAAAACATTTTTGTTTTGTTTTGTTTTCTGTCATTGCAGAAACTTTGTTTCACAAACACAGAACACTAGAAATAGAAGCAGGCTGTTCAATGCTTTTCTGGCCACTTCAGTATATTCTGCCTCAACTGCAGTTCAGAAATATAGGGATGTTTGAAGAGGTTTCCACCACTTTACACAGCACTATCATTTGAGGTCTCAAGCAGTTTAGCTGATCCTCTTCTAGCGTAGACAAAGTGAATTCTCTCACCTCATTCAAAAATAGTTGATAGCTAATGAAGACCAATTATACAAAGTGGGCACAGAGAGTGTGAATCTACTTTCCAAATGAATCCGGAGCTTAAGGAAGGCTCATATGTTCTTCTGAATGCAGCTTTCCTTTTGTCAGCAGTCTTAGAGACTTCCAATGTCAAATCTTTCAGTTGTTAACCATTTTCAAAGAAGCTCTTCAATTTCAATTTTAAAAATTATTTTAGCTAGGGTTAGCTCGTGGGCTTATCAAAACTGTGACTGATTCAAGCACACAGTGCAGGCAAGGGTCCCAGATGGATATGTTAAATAAAAATGGGTCAGCCATCCACAGGCTAAACTTATGTTGGATTCACCTTAAACCCCACCACCAAATGCAGCTGTACAATAGAAGGACATCAACTAACTTGGCATTATAAAGCTTCCAGTAGCTGCAAAAGGTAGACATTTGATTTAATTCTGCAAGCAATAAGTTTATCATGGTCTCTGTGCCGTCAAACCTCTCTGCTAATGTTCATCTGTGTTTGAAGCTATTCCCCAGTGCAAGCCTTTTTGTCTCAGCTCCACTTCAGATCATCAGGATTCATATCTTATAAAGAGTGTGCAATGTAGATTTCTCACACATGCATATGGTTCATGCTCCTATGAGAATCCAATGTTTTCTCTGGTCCTACAGAATGCAGAGCTAAGGTGGTGATGGGAGAGGAGATTGAATGTGAGTACAGGTGGAGCTTTGCTTGGGCAGCCTCAACTCACCTCATTTTGTGAGACCTGGTTCCAATGATTTTAGGACACTTGACTTATACAATGTTGTTGAGATCAACCCATGCTCTGGTCAGCATTTCTTATGGTTTTGAAGGTAGAGTAAGGTTGAATTCTATGTGATTTCTACATTTTGCTTATATATTCACCTGCCAATGTACCCCTGGATGCTTGGATATTTTGGGTATTGTAAATAGTGCTTGCATGCACTTAGGTGCACAAATACCTCTGTGGGATTTTGTTCCCAGTTCTTTGAGTACATACCTGGAAAACAGTTGCTTCATCATGTGTTGTTCTATTTGTATTTATTCACACAGGGTTTTGTAGCAGCTGTAGCATTCTACATATCCATCTAGTGCCCCAGGGCTCAAATTTTTATCATTCTCACCAGTGATTGCTGGTGATACAAAAATTTGTCATGTGAAACCCCCTAGCAGTTTTCACTGAAGCTTGCTTACATGTGAGAAGTCACCTCACTCTTGGTGCTTGCAAATTTCACTCTTTGTGTTCGGTCTGCTCTGGAGTGATTATGTCTGGTGAGGATCTCTTTGAGTGCATTCTCACTGTGCTTGACTTTCTGTATATTCTCATTCTTCATCATCTAGAAAGCTATATGACACTATTGTTTTCAAATTTCTCTGCCCCCTTTCTCTCTTTTTCAGTTCTCCCACAATGTCATGTTATTCCTGTTCATTGTGTTTCACATGCCTGTGAATCTTTCCTCTTTTTCTGTAGTTTTGTATCTCTCTGAACTCCAGATATATCAGTGTAAATTGTCCTGTCCTCTAGATTGCTGACTCTTTCCACTGTGGACTCTGCTCCTCTCCATCAGATCTGTGCCCCCTTTAGCTCCTCAATTTGAAGGCTTTTTTGAATGTTCTCTTATTTTCTAACTCTCCCTACTCACCCAGCCCAGGACCTTAGTGACACCTCTGAAATGTTTTTCTGCAATGAGACATCAATAACCTGCCCAGGATGGGAGTTTCCATCTCCTCTTTGATAAAACTAGGGAGGCCCTTGGTCTTTGTTCAGTGACAGTAAAATTTCAAGTTATATATAAACAAATATGCATGTAGGATGATTTGGAGAGTGAGGTTTGGCTGTCATAAATGGGCACTGTGTATGTGGTGGCACAGGTGGTATAGACAGTGGGCATAGTGATGATACCTGGAGTAAGCCTTTCTGAGTCTGTGGTCTGCCAGCAGGACACATGAGGAGTGACAGCTGAGGACTTAGTCCAAAGGATGTCACCATGTTCATCCTCAGCCTTATTACACTAAAATATCCACCTCTCTGGAGTCTAGAGAAGATTCAGTGGACAACAACATGCATGAGTATAGCAGCTATAGGGAAACTGAAGATTTTATTATTCTGGAAAGAATTGTCCTTGTGAATAAGAACTGAACAAACAAAATCAGTACAACCAGATACTGTGCCAGAAGAGAGCAGTTCTGTGGGTAGTATTTGAATATTATTGTCTTATCATAAGGTAAGAACCCTCTGCACTGCTGAGCCTCCAAATGAGCCTCCATCATCCTCATCTCTAGGCCAACATTTGGCACAGCTGTCAAATGATACATGCTTAATGAGGGGGTGATAAAAATGGCATACATGTGTATTAAATACAGAGATTTGCATTGGGTTGACAGTGGGACATCCGCAAGAGAGGGCAGAACATTGCCATGACAGAGGCAGGGTCTCCTGGTTCTTTTCCACGCTGCCCTTGAAGGACACACAAATCTGCCAGGACAAAGAGCTAACACTCCAGTAGGATGCTGCTTACATGCAATTGTCCCCTTACAGGAGATGGGAACCTTGGCTGGGAATTTCTGAACATTTTCTTTGATCCCACAGGTAAGACCAATAGATCACTGGGGAAATGAGAAAATATTGGGAATTTGCCTGACTAGTGGAAATATGGTCTATGACAAGATATTCAAAGAAAATCAACACATTTCCAAGCTATATCTTGTTTTTGTTTCTTTGTTTAGGGAACATTCTAAGTTGCTCTACTGGAGTGTTTGCAAGCAGAATTGAGTAGGAGTATGGAGGTGTGCCTTAGAGAGACAGTTTTGAAAGTCTGAGCACTATGGCAACACCACTGTTACACAGAAATAGTATTACTTTAACAATGAGTTTGGACTTGGAAGAGAGTGAAATGTAATTAGTGATGTATTCACTAGGAAAAATTCATTAAAAATCTATGAAGCAATCAACTTTGCATAATGAAAATATATTTTTCCAAATGCTTTGTAAATAGAGATATAAAATTATATGCATTTTTATATGCAGGACAACATTTTGGAGAATATTTAAATTGTGAAAAGGTTAAATGTTAATTAAATTGTGTGTTTTCACCAGTAGTTCTTTTGTTGTGAGAACACTTAACATCCACTTTCCTAAACTGTCCAAGAGTACAATATATCACCACTAACCAAAGTCCCCATGCCACATCATAGACCTTCTCCACTCCTCCTTCCTGTGTGGCTGTGACTCTGCACCTGTGACCTCTGTCACCCCAACCCTGAGGAAGTCACTGCCTGAGACTGTGGCAATCATCACCCTGCACTCTGATTCTAGATTAATGATTTCACCTCCACAGTAGAGTGAAAGCAGGGAGTGTTTATCTTTCT